GCCAGGGGCCCGTCCGGCTCCAGCAGCTTCTTCTCTGCCAACACCGGCGCCATCTTGCCAACGGCAGCCGCCACAAAGAGTGACCTCATCCGCCCAGGCTCCGCCGAGAGGACCCCAACTTTCCCACACGGTCTGCTAAGGACCCCGCCTGTCCGGGCGGGTGCCTGTTCTTTTCCTCCCTCTTGAAATCCTTTTCTGCCGCTCGACGATCGTTCGTCCCTTCATCGACGGCTTCTACGACATGCGGAGTGGCTCTGGAGGGGTAATGCTTTGGTCCCACGGGAGGCTGATCCACTCCTTCTAGTCAGGCAATTCTGCGGACACCAACAGCAGCGGATTTTCTCTGGACGATGAGTTCAAGATTTTCGGGGCCTCCGCCCAGAGTTTGCGCCAAATAGGGACCCCTAGTGCCTGCAAGGAGCACTGCAGGTCCGTTGGCTACGCCCGAATGTTTCCAGAGAATACAGCACAGTTCAGTAGTGAAGATAAATAGCTCATCTTAACCCCGCCCCTTTCTCGCTCAAGCGGGATGCGGAGCTTGCGGGGGGCACGCGGCGGAGCGCCGTTTTATAACAGCGCGAGACGCAAGACCGAATTCCGCGCTGAGCCACGAGCACGAAACGCGCAGGTAGTTCGAAGGAACGCCAAAGCGGAGAGCGGGCGCAGGTTTAAAGTGTAATAAACTTCAGCAGTCATGGTAATAGCTGCTCCTTAGTCATTCTTTTCATATTTATTTCTACAAATGTTAAATATTACATGCTTCCTTAAAAGACAGTGTGGTAATTTTGAATTTATACAGTATCATTATGCAACATAATCGCACTGGGCAAACAGCATATCTTCAGAAGTAAGTGTGGGTGGAAAGAGCCTCTCACATGTACACGTCCCCAGATATAAAGCGAATACTCTGCGGAGCATTTGCATTCAGTTTAGGTTATAGATCAGTTTCACTGAGGTTGGGTATTTCTGCTCTTTTCATTCTTCTGTAAAAGAGAAAAATGGCACAAGGACAAATATATGAATCTTGTATCGATTACGCATTGCCTCTAATATGGCTGTAGAGTTGAAGTAATCAGCTCAAAGGGATACGACGAGCTTCGATTATTTGTTCCCCCATCACCACCCAGTCATATTTCTTAGTCCTTCTAAGCTGATTTACCCAACTAGCTATTAACTTTAAGGTGTCTAGCTCAATAAAATGTATTATTCAGGATTAAATTACAGTTCTTTTACCAAGCCCCGCACTTCTTGGGATGGTCTGCTATGGGAGGATTATGCACTCCAAACTGCACTCAGAAATGGAACAGAAGCTATTAATTGTAACATTATATAGTACCAGCATCTTATCCCGGATCTGTGTTAATAATGATTACAGTGCCAAATCCTGGACTAAGCTTGGCCATGCTAATTTACGTTGGATATCCTGTTCCAGTACATCATCGTTACGGCACCAGTCTTAGCCAATGAAAGCTGCATCGCCCAGTGACAAAACTGAATCTAAACACCTACAGACTGAAAATTGATGTCTTACGGAAAATATGAACGATCCATCAACATGAGACTTTTTCTAGAGGCCTCCAGAGTTGCCAAACTGTCAAACAAGAACCATTTGCCACTTCTGCCATTTTGAGGCAGAAAATACATTAGTTGCATTAAGTTTCTAAGAAAGTATAATATAGTAGGCTTTTTGGATAAAAATTTCCCTCCAAAAAATACCCCAGAAGCCAAGGGAATTTGGCTCTGGCTACAGAAGTTCTGCTTGATTATGTCATCATATCACTGGAGAGGAAGTGGGATTTTAAACCTGCTATAATTCTACATTGCACTGTACTAGTTCTCTAAAACTCTAGCAGAGCTCAAGAGAAAGATTTTTTTTTTTTTTGGTTTAGTTTTTCAGTTCCAGCCTAACGTTCCAAGTTTCATTTTCATATACTTCTCCCATGGATTCTCTTCTTCTTTGTCAAGTGGATGTTATTAAACCAAGATGGAAACAACATGAAACCAGCTATTGACACTCAGTATTAAGCAAGAAAAGGGGAAATTGTGGCCTTCCAGTTTCTGCTGGAAATTGTAGCTCTGCAACATCTGGAGGCCAGGGGTTCCCTGTCTCTGGAAATGAATCACTTTCATTTAAAATGTTACCAGTTAGTATCTTTATTGCAGTCACTGATTAGCTTTTTGTTCCATTTTTGTAAATGGGTTAGAGCTCAAATTAAGATAGAGAGACATTTACTAGATGGATGCAATAGCAGCTGAGTCTGCTCTCTGAAGTTGCTTTTCAGCATTTTGGGAGGTATCGCTACCAGAGGTTTTCCCATTTTTAATTAATTAATTAAACAATTTCCAGATGAGAAATTGGGCGCCAGGGGGAATATTGTTTAAAAATTAAGCTCAAAACTAAAAGCTATCACCATGACTCCAATTGTAATGTACATCTAGCAAATCAAATTTCAGGATTTTTTTTAGTGTATACATACAGAGTTAAACTTTGCTTCAGAGGTACAGACTTCTATGTAAATGACTTCATGCTTGATCCTCTTTAGTTTTGTTAAAATGCTTTTCATTTAGCTGGATTATATTCTGAAACATTAGGGGGCTCTTCCCTCTAAAAAGTCACAAGCATGGCAGTTGCATAGCCCTCTCGGAAATGCAAGAGGATAATCTGATTCCACTAAAAGAATAAATATTCATGGTTAGCCCAATGTTTCTCTCATTCCCTCTCACCCCACATAGAAAAATGTTACAAAACCGAAATACCTGTAACTTGCAGTATTTCTTAGCAAGATCAACATTCGTCCGTCCTTGCTGAAATGGGTAGGCCCATAAAATTGAATTCCAATGATGCCCCATTTTCCTAACACCTTCCAAAAGATATTTTATTTCTTCTGATGTAAAATCTTTCCTGATTCTCCGTCTCTTTTTTTTAAAAGTTGTTGCAGGCCTATTTGACCGATGAGTATCAGTATTCTGCAACATTAATTAAAACAGCACACTAAGAATTTCAGTATAAGCCCTTTCAACAAAGAACACTGCATCAGGTGTTAGAATTTATACCCAGATATTAATATACAAAGTGGTGGTATTTAGGTGGCCATACCTCATCTTCAAATGGATGGTTTTCACTCAGGTCCTGGTCTTGAAGATTATAATTCTGTTTCATTGCTTGGTTCTTTGAATATGCATCCCACTGAAGATTTCCTGTTGAAACAAAATATTCAGAATTTCTGAAAATTACCAGGCAGTGGGGCTAAACTAGATATTACTACAAGGGATAAAGTTGCCTTGGCTCACCTAACTCTTTCCCAGCTGTTGAGCTTCTCTTGCAAAAGAATTTCTGGACATCATGATTACCATTATTATATGTAGAAGTATTCTTGTTAGAGATAATAGATCTTTTCAACTTCCTTTTATATTGCATCTCAGATTCTAGAATAATTTTGTGTTGTTCACATAGATATTGACAAGACTGCAAAGTCTTGCTAAAATTTCGGCTGTTTAAGGAAAGTCCTCCTGTTCTACAACCTGAAAAATATAATATTGTAGAAATAAAATGTTACAGATGCAGGACATTAAACTACTTAATATTTCAGATTTATTTTCTGCTTTGCCCCCATTGTGACAAATACATCACTAAATCTAGAATTTTTTTATTGGAAAGTGTTCAATAGATCTAGTATAGATATCCTATAACTGGCCAAAAATACAAAATTATGGGGGGGAAATTCTTTGCACAAATTTTCAAAAGTTGCAATAAAAAGTTACAATTTTAATTTTAAAATATACTTGAAAAAGTAGTTTGCAAAAGTAAGGAATTTATGGAGTAATCCTAGCTCAAAGATGGGCTTGTAGAATTGCCTTGCAGGCCAGTATACCCTCACAGAAAAGCCAGAATAGGACTTTTCTGCTAGGCAAGGAAGGAGCCAAGTTATACAATAGCAAACCCCCAGACCAGGGCATGGTATTGGTATATAGCCAGACCAGACTGAGGGCAGTCTCAGAAAATAATTCTCATTATCCATGCCATCTTGCTACACCACATTGATATGACTAATCTTAGGAAGGTTGGCTCAAACCTCCTGACAATTTTGGCCACTTTGGATTGGCTGGCTGAAATCCTACCTGGAGTGTCATTACTGCTGAACTCAGTGGGACTTCCTTCCAAACAGAAAATCCTATGAGCATCCTTAAAATAAGTTTTTAAAAATTACCTGAACACCTGAGTTCTCTTATTTTAAGAGGAACAGTCAGAACATGGCCTACTCCTCTGCTTGCGCTGCTTGGATATTGTAGCTCTTTGAAAAATAAAATATCTAATGTGAAACACATTATAAATTGATAAATGGATGTATTTACTTTTATATATTACCAATCTATTTAAAAAGAATTAGACTGAAATACTGTAATATATGCCCAAATACATAAAAACTAGTTGCCAACTAACATTCCCAGATTAAACTTTTGATCTATTAATTTAATCACTAACTCAGTTACAGTGGTACCTCGGGATACGAACTTAATCCGTTCCGTGACTCTGGTTGCAACTCGAGTTGGTCTCAAGTCGAGGTAAAGTTTCCCATTGAGTTCAATGTAAATCCGGTTAATCCGTTCCGCCCTCCGAATTTGGTCGCAACCCGAGGTGAATTTCCCCATAGGGTTCAATGTAAATACGGTTAATCCGTTCCAACCTCCGCCCGAATTTGGTCGCAACCCG